TCTAACTCAACAAAAGAAGCAAGTTTGCATCCATAGCAAATGCTAGCCCTTGACACTGGAGGTTACTGCCGCATGAGTTACTGTCCAAAGTTCGGTCACGACCAGTGCATTATTTTCTAAGTTATAAGAAAGCCTGTCCTTTTAAAATATTCTCAGATTATCTATTACATCCTGGCATACACAAGTTAAAATCGGAGATGTAATTTTGGCGACACCTATTTTTTTTTCCGTTAATGTGTATTCGTCTTTCCTGTTATTCCTTTGTATGTTGTTTCTGGTATGAAATTGAAGATTTCAATCACAGACAGGAGTTCCGTAACCCATCAGTCATATTGGCACCACTTGTCCTACAAGCTTCGCAGCAGTGCGTGTATCATGGGAAATATAGCCTAAGAGAAGCCATATATCTTCCAGCCAGTTTAGAATTGTTCGTCTTCTAGGCTGATCGGCGTACCGAATCTAAGTTTTATCCCGTTGTAATATTTGAGTAGCCAAGGTTATACAGCTCAGTCTACACTGCTATTTAAGCGATAACTGGTAAAGATGAATTCATGGCTTTTTCAAGGGTTATAGTTCGAAAGTCAACACCACAGACAAGGGTAGATATTTGAGATTATCGGAATTTAGCTCGACTTAGCAGGCTGATTGCAATTACTGTAAACACAAATCAGATAATTGGCAGATGTTTATGTTTCGAATTAAAAAAAAAAAAACTTTAATGTTATAAGAACCGAAATAAATGAAGCCTTCTTTTAAGAAACATTTAGGAAACATGTAGGACGGCCTATAGGAAATGCGTAGAAAAACGTAGGAAACGTGTAGGAAATGCGTAGAAAAACATGTAGGAAACGTGTAAGAAACAGTTGATATTTCTAACTATTAGTGTGAATCATAAAAATATCCGATTTTGTTTACAAACATTATTATTCTTAAAAAAAATTAAAATGCATATACTTGTTGTCCCTTATCAGGCATATTTTTGGTACATTTCTAGTAGCCTTCTACGGTTTTGATATGAAAACATTTTATACGACAACTTCAATCAGGTTTTCATTAGACATATTTATCAACTTTTCAAAGGATAAATGTAAAATAAGTTTGATACAAGGTCAAGGAGAATATGACGATTGGAGGAGAATAGACGAATCTCGTTTTAATTCTATTTGCCATCTTATTTTTGCCATGTGTATTGACGTGGATGAGAATAACACTCACATACTGATGTCGTGCAGGGAGCCTTTCGACATGCCTCAACTGTAAGACTTATAAATGTTCCATAGCGTTTTATGAACTCTAAATAAATACCCCCAGCTATGGGTTAAATAGCAGGAAAGACTGGCTCCTATACTCATGGTTGGCAACCAGTATACTAGAGAACGTAACGGCAACCCGCAGCGAGAACTCTTCTACGTTGTCGAAAAGATGTGTGTCTTCATACCACTCATGAATCCCAACAGGAGGTTCAGTCTTGGGATCGGCTACAAAGAATTATCCTTTTAAATCCACTGCCTTTTGCTTTGAGCATTGTTTTATACTACAGAGTCAAAGTTTGGTGCAACCCTGCATTTCTTTAAAAACACGTTTAAATTAGATATTTTTGTATTTTGTAAAGTAACAGATAAAATTTCTGTAACTACAGTGCATTTGATTATATTTTGAGAAAAATAATAAGTACTTAACGATGAGAATTTATACAACAGCATCATATTTTTTTTTCGTCAATAAAACCACCAGCTGTTTTAATTACTGTTTTATAAATGCTTGGCAATTCTATCCAATATTTTTTTTTTTTTTTTTTTTTTTGTTTTTTTAAGTAGATGGCAGACATTCCCAGTCTTCAAGCACTAACACATATCGTTCACACCTTTTGGGTATTTTGTCCCATTCAATCTATCCTTGCGTCCTGGGTAAGACGATAAACTACATCCCCGTCCTGGGTAAGACGATAAACTACGTCCATGTCCTGTGTAAGACAATAAACTACATTCGTGTCCTGGGTAAGACGATAAACTTCGCCCGAGAACTTGGTAAGATGATAAACTACGTCCGCATCCTGGATAAGACGATAAACAACATCCGCTTCTTGCATAAGACGATAAATTACTTCCAACAGCAAGGTTTCTGATCAGGTGTTTTTAAGGAGCGTGGAACTACCTCTTAATTGCAGGTGTTCCAAAGTCCACACTGACCCTGGGTGGTAGCACCTGGTAGGGTTTCAACTATGTGCAAATTGTTATCCCTCAAACCGAGGTCAAAACATCATGAAAGTGTAAAAAGTTTTTATATCAGCTCTAAATTTGTGAGAAAAACTTATTTATATTACCAGCAATACATTTCTGAGTAAAAATATTACCAGCGTTACATTTTTGTAGAATAAGATAATACCAGCAATACATTTTTGGAAATAATATTACCAGCAATATATTTATGAAGAAAAAATATTACTAAGATGAAGTATTATGTACATTATTTACATTATTCGGACTAATAGTAATAAGGAGTGCCAGAGAAAAGCAATGATAACAACAAAGTTGCAATATGAGCTCTGGTAAAAAACATGAGATGATAACAGCAAAATTGCAATATGAGCAGTGATAAAAATGATTGCTGAAGACAGGTTTATAATACCCAGAAATTCATACACAGATGTCCTCAAGGACACATGGCACAGTGGATAAAGTCGTTGGTTAGATCCAGTGACAGGCCCCAAAGAGTGCGAGTTCAAGTTTAGGCAGTGGAGAACATTCAGAGGGAAATTAGCATGAGATAACTGATAACTGACATCCATCAAAACGTGGAACCGTCTACCCCAGTGAGCGAAATAAAGGGTTCAGTTCGAAATTCCAACCACCTGAAGAAGGCCGGAGCGTACAACGGCCGAAACTTTGTGATAAATATGGCGACAAAGATGAGGACAATAGTCCGAATAATGTAAAAAAATATTACGAGCAATAAATTTTTGAAGGAAAAATATTATGAGCAATAATTTTTGGAAAAATTATTACCAGCAATAAAAATCTTGTCGGCCTTTAATAACCCATTGAGGTTGATATGCCGTAAAACAAAACAAACCAAACCAAAGCAAACCAGTCTATCCTTTCAATGGGAAAGAGGTATTGACATTGAGCCAGCTAAGTCATAATTTCCAAAATTGTATTCCTTTTATTGACACGAGGTAATTTTGACATAATGTAGAAGGGTCTTTTGGGACGGTGTCTTGTTGAAAGGTGATTTTTTTTTCAATTATGTATAAACCAGATGGTATAGCGTGTCTTTTCCTTTTTTCATGATTTTCTTGACCAGAATCGAATCTCCAGCTCCTTTGAAGATCTAAAAAAAACGATTCTTAGTGGTTAATGTCACGAAACAAAATATAATTTTTCTTATTCAAAAATTTAGCAAAATATATTCGGGCAGACTGATCTGAATTTGTACTTTTTGGTAGTAAGGAGAACCTGGAAAAAGACTGAAAAATAAAAGCAAATACGCTGTAGTTACTGAAGTTTTATCTTTTCCGTTAAAAAATACAAACATATCTCAATTTGTAATGTTTTTTTTTTAACGACACGCAGGATATCCCCAAACTTTTGTCTGTAGTTAATACTATCTGTGTTTGTTCACCTGCTAAGATATCTTCAAGGAAAGTTTATATACGATTAATGATACCCTCGACATTGAAACCGCTGTCCAAAAACGGGAAATACTTCTGACTCAACCTAGTATTTATAGAAATAAAATCAAATGTTATTCATATTTTCATAGTTTGTCCGTACGTCCCTATCAGTAAAATAGAGGAGCTTACTATCCATCACCTTTAAACCCAAGGTTTGAATTCACACATGCCAAGGGATTTTTTTTTAATCCGATAGTCTATCTCTTCAAAACTAGCGTATTTTTTATTCCGATTTTCTGTCTCTGCAATACTATCATACATTGTCGGGTAAAACATCTGGTTATATGTTTGTGAGTTCAATCCTTGGAATTGCTAGTGTTGAAGAAAACAGATGCACTGATTCAATTCTGTAATCTGGAAAAATATGATTAGGGTTGGTAGGCATTAAGTCATACGAGATATATTCTATATTTGGACGGCCGAATAAGATTATTCTACCGGACGTGGACTTAATAAAGATCTCGATTCGAAAATTCAAAGATGGTTAGCGGGTTTCGAAATCAGAATCATGAATAAGGCCGGAGAATGTAACAGCCGAAACGTAGCTAAGATATCCGTCCTGATACAAAAACAATGTATATAATGATGATAATTCCCGATCACACTAATCTCGATTTTTTTTGGCGTCCGAAAGATGTCGTTTATCGAGTTGCATGTTTTGTTGTCTATCTACAATTCCTCAGACACCAATGCTCCGTCACAGACTGAATGAGGGACAGACAATTTTCACTCGCTTTATTTGGAGAGAAGGTAGCATAGTAATAGAGTTGCGCTCCCTTTTCTTGGAGGATGCGAGATGGAGAGTGTGATAGAGGGAAGAAATCACAATAGAACAGGGCCTCTCATATTTGGCCACCGCTGTACGAGGACAGGGGATTGTCTCTACTAAAACAGCGGCTTGCCAATGAATCTAGAGACGGATAAACGTCTTCAGACTTCTATCATCAGCACCGTTCTGACTGTTTTCCTTGTTTTTCCGGTCTTAAATGAGAATGTAAAAGAAACCAATGTAACCTTTCAATATTCATATCCTACGAGGTTCGGGTCGTTAGTGTTAAGGCCAGTATGGTAGGTTTTGAACAGGTAAAACTTAGGAAAAAACAAGGGAGTAAGAAAGGAGTTTTAGATAAAACGACACGGATAATTTTGCAAAGAGCAGCTTTGAAGTGAGAACAGCTATTTTATTGAAAGAAAATTAACTAAAACTGAAATCAGGATTAAAGTTATAAAAATATGTACACCTTAGGCCAGTGGTTCCCCAATGGTTTGGCTCGCCTCATATGTGCGAAGGGAGAGGACATCAGGTGAAGCGGAAGTGGATAGCAGGTTAGGCGGAAGAGAATAGCAGGTGAGGCGGAAGAGGATAGCAGCTGAGTCGGAAGAGGATAGCTGGTGAGACTGAAGAGGATGGCAAGTGAGGCGGAAGAAGATACCAGGTAAGGTGGAATAGTATAGCAGTTGAAGCGGAAGAGGATAGCAGATGTGGCTGAAGATGATAGCATGTGAGGTGGAAGAGGATGGCAGGTGAGGCGGAAGAAGATAGCAGGTGAGGCGGAAGAGGATAGCAGGTGAGGCGGAAGAGGATGGCAAGTGAGGCGGAAGAAGATAGCAGGTAAGGTGGAATAGTATAGCAGGTGAAGCGGAAGAGGATAGCAGATGTGGCTGAAGATGATAGCATGTGAGGTGGAAGAGGATGGCAGGTGAGGCGGAAGAGGATGGCAGATGAAGCGGAAGAAGATAGCAGGTGAGGCGGAAGAGGATAGCTGGTGAGACTGAAGAGGATGGCAGGTGAGGCGGAAGAAGATTGCAGGCAAGGTGGAATAGTATAGCAGTTGAAGCGGAAGAGGATAGCAGATGTGGCTGAAGATGATAGCATGTGAGGTGGAAGAGGATGACAGGTGAGGCTGAACAGGATGGCAGGTGAGGTGGAAGAGGATGGCAGGTGTGGCGGAAAAAGATAGCAGGTGAGGCGGAAGATGATAGCTGGTGAGACTGAAGTGGATGGCAGGTGAGGCGGAAGAAGATAGCAGGTAAGGTGGAATAGTATAGCAGGTGAAGCAGAAGAGGTTAGCAGGTGAGGTAGAAGAGGATGGCAGATGAAGTGGAGGAGGATAGCAGGTAAGGCAGAAGAAGATAGCAGGTGAGGCGGAAGAGGATGTCAGGTAAGGCAGAAGAGGATGGCAGGTGAGGCTGAAGAGGATGGCAGGTGAGGTAGAAGAGGATGGCAGGTGAAGCGGAAGAGGAAGGCAGGTGAGGCGGAAGAAGATAACAGGTGAGGCAGAAGAAGATAGCAGGTGAGGCGGAAGAGGATGTCAGGTAAGGCAGAAGAGGATGGCAGGTGAGGCTGAAGAGGATGGCAGGTGAGGTGAAGTGGAAGAGGATGGCAGGTGAAGCGGAAGAGGATGGCAGGTGAGGCGGAAGAAGATAGCATGTGAGGCGGAAGAAGATAGCAGGTGAAGCGGAAGAGGATAGCAGGTGAGGTAGAAGAGGATGGCAGGTGAAGCGGAAGAGGATAGCAGGTGAGGCAGAAGAAGATAGCAGGTGAGGTGGAAGAGGATGGCAGGTGAGTCGGAGGAGGATGACAGGTGAGGTGGAAGAGGATGACAGGTGAGGCGGAAGGAGATAGCAGGTGAGGTGGAATAGTATAGCAGGTGAAGCGGAAGAGGATGGCATGTGAGGTAGAAGAGGATGGCAGGTGAAGCGGAAGAGGATGGCAGGTGAGCTAGAAGAAGATAGCAGGTGAGGCGGAAGAGAATGGCAGGTGAGGCGGAAGAAGATAGCATGTGAGGCGAAAGAAGATAGCAGGTGAGGTGGAATAGTATAGCAGGTGAAGCGGAAGAGGATAGCAGGTGAGGTAGAAGAGGATGGCAGGTGAAGCGGAAGAGGATGGCAGGTTAGGTAGAAGAAGATAGCAGGTGAGGCGGAAGAGGATGGCAGGTGAGGCGGAAGAGGATGGCAGGTGAGGCGGAAGAAGATAGCAGGTGAGGTGGAATAGTATAGCAGGTGAATCGGAAGAGGATAGCAGGTAAGGCAGAAGTGGATGGCAGGTGAAGCGGAAGAGGATGGCAGTTGAGGCGGAAGAAGATAGCAGGTGTGGTGGAATGGTATATCAGGTGAATCGGAAGAGGATAGCAGGTGAGATAGAAGAGGATGGCAGGTGAGGCGGAAAAAAGATATCAGGTGAGGCTGAAGAGGATGGCAAGTGAGGCTGAAGAGGATGGCAGGTGAGGCTGAAGAGGATGGCAGGTGAAGCGGAAGAGGATGGCAGGTGAGGCGTAAGAGAATAGCAGATGAAGCGGAAGAGGATACCATATGAAGCGGAAGAGGATAGCAGATGCGGTGGCAGAAGATAGCAGGTGAGGCGGAAGAGGATAGCAGGCGAGGCGGCAGAGGATAGCAGGTGAGATGGAAGAGGATAACCGGTAAGGCTGAAGAAGATAGCAGCTGAAGCGGAATGACTGAAAGCCAATCAAAGATTTAGAAACAGTTTTTAAAAAATCATCCGCCTGAAATAAATATGATTTAAAAATTTAAAATATTATTATGGATTACTTGTGATTCCATGCATGATTCCCAATATAAAAAGTTATAAATAATTATTGACCGATTTTATCAGTGTGATATTTTTGTCTTATATTAAGTATTAAGAATATAATATCTAGGCTCTGCAAATTATAGGAAAGACTTAACAATGGTAATATTCTGAAATCGAATCCGGGGTTATCTCCCTTTAAACCGCTCTCTTTTTTTTTTTTTAAGTTTTTTTTTAAATTTGGTGAAGCGCATGTAGCACTTCTTTCTGAAAATTTAGCCGAGAGAAAAAAGTTTGGGAACCAATGCTTTAAGAAATAACAAAAAACAAAAGACATTTCTATTTGTCATTACAGGAACAATTCCGTAAGGTTTTACAGAGAGGTAAAAACTAGGAAGATGATAAGCGTCGGAACGAGTGCATAAGGAAAAAAATAGATACAATATTAATCTTCAAGCATTAAACGAATTTGTTATTAATTGTAAAAGTCGTTAGTTACAACTTTGGTGAAAATTTATTAATTCGTAATAATAATAAGAAAAATTCTCCGTTAACTAGTGTATGCAGATGTTCCGGTTGTGACGCGTGTCAAGATTACTAAATAATATGTCCTTTCTTGACAACTACAGAGATAAAAGGAAACAAAAATAAAAAAATAAAAAAACTTGTAAAATCGTCACTCAATTATTAGATACTTAGCAGTGATTCAAAGGACACATATTATGGGGAGTTAAAAGCTGGTGAAATATTTCGAAGCAAACGTAAATTTTAACATACAAAATTGCAAATTGAAAATTACAGACTAAATATCCAAATACGTAAAATAACATTATTTAACTTATTCATTTACTTTTCGACTCACTACTAAAACTTATGCCAGGAAAGTAGATTCACTATGAAAAACTAGATAATTTTTCTCATCCGAATCTATCTCGCAAATGCATGTCTACCATTCGTCCGTGCATTGAATTTTGCTACCACATATATTTTGGTGTATCTGCTATGCATCTAAGAATTCTTGACACAATCCAAAGAAGAATCTGCAATGACTTGGCACGTTAGCTTCAAATTACTCTCCTAATACTAATACCTTTTTTCCATGTATCTTTACTAAAACATATTTCAATAGTAATTTTTTTGATGAGATTTACACTTTGTTATCTCAACTTCATGAATTTACACGTAGTACGAGATTGGAATATAAATCTCATCAATTTATTGTTGAAATAGATTTAACCGTAAGTTCTATCCTAATAGTTTCTTCTTTCGTACTTCTCGCTTGTGGAGTCCTCTTCCACGGTTAGCGTTACGCGCAAGAAACACGCATCATTCACAAATCGAACTGTACGCCTGATTATCGATTGAACTTTATAAGATCTTTTTTTTTAAGGAAAGCAGGTTTCTCAAGTTCCAGAAGTTTTTGAAAACTTTCACCCCAAGCAAGGTGATAATGCCACTACGACGCAGATGATATTACAGGGATTGAAAGTGAAAGAGAATGAGAAGACTGAGAATGAGGAAGATTGAAGAAAGGACAAAAGAAACAAAACGAAAACCCAGATCAAACAGCAGGTAAGAGGGTGTCCAATGTTAAGAATATGCAAAAATTTAAAAATTCTTAAACTCCGGAAGAAGGCGAAGTCCAGACCAAGAGCCCTCTGCAGGAGCTAGCTTAGATGGCCGGCCGGCCGATAGGGCAGCTCTTAAGCTAGTATATATATATATATATATATATATATATATATATATATATATATATACATGAAGAAATATAGTTGTAAGGTGTGATATATTTATGGGATAAAGTGTTCAATATCAGAGATAGAACGTATGTAAATATAAATATAAAAGTAAACATTGAAGTCAACACTCAGAGGCGACAGGCTGTTTCATGCTAGACACAATCATTGGGCCTGACGATTGCGCCTAGCATGAAACAACCTGTCGCCTCTGAGTGTTGACTTCAATGTTCACTTATATATATATATATATTTGTGTGTGTGTGTTGATTATCCTTCAGACCGACTGTTTCGCTGTATGATAGCTCATCAGCGTGGCTAGGCATCCGATTGCCACAAGTCACCCGATTTGGCATCATTCGGAGATTTTTCCGAGCTATCAGCCCCCAGTTCAATTTTTACGTTATTTATTTTCGAATAAACATGCTAGTGACTCAGAGTGCTCAATTCAAAGAAGAGCTTTTGCATTAGCCGTAGCAAAGATTGTTTACAAATTCGTTATATATATATATATATATATATATATATATATATATATATATATATATATATATGTTTGTGTGTGTGTATGTTTGTAAGTGTGTGTGTGTTCGCCTTATCCTTTCTTTGTCTCTTGCTTACTATCTTACTAAGCTCATATCAAAGTAGAACCGGAGAAAAGCGTAAGGAATAAAAATACGTAAAACAACAATAAAGAAAAAAAATGCATTGTTTAATAAATCAGAAATCTTCGATGCCACACGGAACGCCTTGTCATGGACGGATGGAGTTAGTTTGTCAGATTAAGAAATTCTACATGCTAATAACATCAGTGGCTTTCGTGCTCAGTGGAGCTTAGATAGAAATGACGGTTAAATGAAAAAAAAAATCAATTTGATTCATCGGACGCCACTGATTCGATTGTGTTACGCAAAAAAACAAAATATCATTCACACCAACTAGGAAGGAACTGTAATTGATAGAATAGAACATTAATGTTACTCTTGTTATTGTTTTGGTTTGAGATTCTCTTTGACTAACAAAATTTCGCCCGGGTGGTAATGGTCATAGTTCCGTTCTTTTACGCCGCTTAAAGAAAAACACTTTCCTCAGCCTTCCGTTTCCAAGCGGCGCTGCCACTTGCAAACTATCAACCCTAACTCCGTGCAAGGTAAAAAAAAAATTCTTGAAAATAGAACTGATTGAACCAAGCAGAAAAAGAAAACACTGATCTGCCGAATTTCGCTGAATTTTCCAAAGAAGCCAGTGTCACTAAGGAACCATTCATTGCTACACTTGTGCAAAGATGGGATGTCAATTTCTCTACAAGCGCATTTCAGTCTTGATGGTCGAATCGCGCATGAAGGCATTATTGGCTACTGACTCGCAACAATTCGCTCTTGTTGTTGTTTTTGTTGCTGTTGCTACTACTATTGTTGTTGCTGTTTTTGTTGTTGTTCTTCTTCATTTTCACATTGTAATTATTACGCTATTTTGCGCGATGACATAATCAATAAAAAAAATTCTGATCTTGTTGCATGATATCAACAAGAACTCTTCACAGCTCAAGAATTTTCGGGGTAAATGATGCAAGTTTCCTTCCCGTGCAGATATTGACCTAACTTGCCATGCAGTGTTTATACCCTTTCTCGCCAGCGGTGACCGATGTAACCTGTGTTTACGGGAAAATCTATACCCATTTCCGGCCGCTGCGACCGATCTAACCTGTGTTTACGGGAAAATCTATACCATTTTCGGCCGCGGCGACCGCTGTAACCTGTGTTTACTGGAAAAATTATACACTTTTTCGCCAGCGGTGACCGATGTAACCTGATCCTACAGAATATTAATGACCCAAACCTGCTGAACAAACCTAAGGAACTCATGACAGATGCATCCATGAATAACTCCCTCCTAAAGTATTTTTCCTGGTAGAACACAACTTCACATGCCCTTGAAATATTTTAGTTTAAATAATTATTACACCCACTTTAACCATTTAAGCGTCTAGCGGATTACACGATTAAACTTTTTTCTTTCGAAAATTATAAAAAAACAAACTCACCTCTTACCTTCTTCGTCTATCTACACACTTTACGTTTTTATTTTTATATCCTAATATTATTAAACGTTGGCATTATATACTGTACAGCGTTACTCTCTTGATACATAGAGATTATAAACACGAATACAATTCACCGCGCCTGCTCGCTCATTTTTAATCATATTACACCTTACGCTTTATAATTTTTAACTTGAAATCTTTTTTCCCAACGAAAAACTTAAGCCATATATACTTTAAGCTTGCATCGTTCTTCATTCTTTTTCTAACGAAAAAAAAAAACAAAAAAAAACATGCACCATATAAACTTTAAGATTGCAGCTTTTTTTTTCTTGTTTTTTCCCAATGACCCCCTCCATAGACTCCATATTTTGAATATATACCGCAATAATATATCTATCTATTAACATGGAGCTTTGAATCTAGTATAATTTAGCGTTCCTAACATGAGACCAAGTATTAAAAAAAACAACTGTAATAAGTGGTTCATTTGTCATTTGTGCCGGACGACTCAGTAAACCATTAAACTTTAAGTTGCTCTTCAAACGTAGGTATATGTTTATTTATTAATATCTATCTGTCGCAGTCTGTGCATATGTATCTATCTACCTCAGTCTTATCATCAGTCTTTTCATATCTATCCATCTGCCTATCATTCTATCTATCTCTTGTTGCAGTTTTTGGGGTATTATGTTTACTAGTGAGCTAGCCCAAATGACTAGACTCACTTTATAGTCCACCAAAAGAAGGTTAACCAATCGGAAGACGTAGAATATTCAATCCGTCGTGTATAAAGGCGGCCATTTTGTTTACTCTATCCGAATGTCCAGTGCCAGCTTGTCAGGCGAAGAGGAACAGAAGGAAGAACTACGCTCTGCTACTTTACCGGGATATCCACTTGCTAACCTGAACTACGCTTCCCTACTGTCTTCAAAATATTCACTGCTAACCTCTGGATTCTATACTCAAAGACGACCGTCATCATGAACAACATATCTTT